CGGATATCTGATTATCCTTTTTCCTTAATACAAATACGATCGTCTCGACGTAGTCAAATATTTTTAAAAGAAAGAAGTACCATGCGCACCTAGTTAACTGCAATAAAATTCAGACATTATCAATTTGCGGTGTATTATTTTATGAAACAAATTCTGAATAACTAAGTATGTGAGCGATTTATAGCATTATTAACTACATTGACATATGTAAATATTTGATACTTTAAGCTTACAATGCTTACATAAAACTTAGATGAAAATATATGTTATTAACAGAACTTTTTTTTTTTTTTCTAATTCATTCTTCGTTCTCCCGACAAAATTTAGTTAAAGATTTCATTACTGCATTACTATGACAAAAATGTAATATAAATTGATACGGAGAATTATAGAGAAGTACTTTTTTCTCAGTATTACACTTATAAATAGATACCTGCTGATGGCATACATTTTCGCAAAAAATGGCTTATTTAAAAATTATTACCCTCATTGGAGTATAATTGTAGGAATAATCAAATATAGGACACACAAATAAATGGGTTGAGAATAAACCAGCGTCAATAATGTCATATATTAACCACACATTTGCTAATATTTGGCCAATATTGTACAACTTCATGAACGTCGTTAATGAGTATGGCGGCCTGTTCTTCATGAACCGAGGCCCACAGCCAAGCACGAAGTACAAATATCCAAATATTACAAGTGGTATTTGATAGGAAGAACTGACTAGCGGTAGATCGGCTACTCGTGGATCTGAAAATCAAATTAGTATATAGAAATATATTTGGACACACACACGCGCAAACACACACACACACACACACACACACACACACACATCAGTATTTGAAATACATTTTATTAAATGAAGCAAAACAGAAATATTGTTATTGCAATAAAAAGCAACTGAATATGAAAAGACGTTGCATTCTGATCAATACTTAAGGTTTTTTAACGTATATAAAATGTAATTGAATCGACACTACAGTAATGTCCGAATTGGTAAATGGATTATATTTTGAAGATTATTCGTTAATTTACAATGTTATTGTTCCATGCATTCTTCACATTTATCGCTGAAACTGTTATATTATATCTATTTCATACATTATATTTTACATTTACTTTAGAATTCTGCAAATTTGAAAATTTTAATCATAAAATATCTTTTTTTTTTGTAATTATATGACAAGTTTGACATTTGATAATGTTAATGCGAAGTTTTTTCGCAACGTTTTCGGGAGTGAGATTTTTCTCAAGAATTGTAAATTGTTACTAAAGTTCGAATGGTTGCACTATAATTATTAATATAATTTGGCGAGCTTTTGCTAAACAATAATGTCAACGGTACTTACCGAGCTGTTTCGTCCAGTAACAAGATATGTCATGTAAGAGATCCATGATGGACAATTGTACTGTGTCGATCTTATAAATCGCTACTTTTGTTATACAACAAAATATCCGTTTAACTACTATACGTTTCCTTATATTGCAGAGCTGCCGCACCTGACGAACCAATTGTACAAAATCGTCTAACACGTACAGTCATTTAACGCTTTTATATATTGTTAGTTACCTTGCACTTTGCACTTGATTTGGCAACTTGATTTAAGAATTTTGCTATAACGTGACCTCATGACCTCGTGACGATTATACAGGGTAATCCAGAGAGCATCCATACGCTAGCTATTTTCTCAAAAATATGACGTTACAGTAAGTTAGAAAAAAAATTTCATTACTAATGGGCGCGCAAATAATCATTGGTGATGGTATTATTTTTTGGGATAATCCAGAAGTAAGTGTAACTGGGATCATAGTTTTGAAATTTCAAATAGAAACATGGATCGAGTAGGGTATCGTTGGATAGAACTTTGGGAAAGAAACAACTTCTATTAAAATTCATTTCAATTATCTCTTACAGATTTTGAGAATAGTTATTTGTGTAACAAGTGCCGTAAGATGAAAGAAAATTCCCGGGTGCGGTTACCGCACTCACCTTCGGCTCGTGCGTAAACTCCGCACCCGGGAATTTTAATCTTTACGCACGGCTTACACACCCTATTTTATGTTGCAAGTGCCTGGAAAGTGGTCTATCACACACGCGTAGCGTGCGTAATGGGGCACTTTCCATGCACGTGTTGCATAAAAACGTTTAAATATGTGGACGCCTGCAATAATTTACAAGAAATTTCAAAACTGGTCCCAGTTACACCTACTTACGGTTTGTCTCGAAAAATAAAACCATTACCAACTAATTACTTTAGATGTTCATTAGTAATGAAAATTCGAATTCTTTCTCGTTACTTCCTGTGCCGTCACATTTTTGAGAAAAACGGCTGGCCCGGGTGCTTTGAATCACCCTGTATAACACGATGACAGACAGAATTGTTAAGTACAATTTTAAGTGAAGTGAAGTGAAGTGAACAAGTGAAGTAAAAGGTGGGCCTTGAGAGGACAACGCAGTTAATATGTTAATGTTGGTTATCATGTTATAAGTTAACGCTATGACAATCTTTAATTACTAATAAGATATATAATTGTAAATCGAATGTTTAGGTTCTGCTTTAAGCTACCATCAGCGATGTGGCAACAGTTAAATCAAAATAATCTCCCGTTCTCCGGTAAGCAATAGATAAGCACTTCCAAGTTTAGTGGTCTAAAAATAGTGTAATTTCGAGCAAGAAAATCCAAGTAAAATTTGACTAATGATCACAATTTGTAATATGGTTAAAACAAAATTGACAGTCAGAACTTGAATAACAAAAAGAAGTAAAGTCCATCCAGGCAGTTCAGAGAATGCGAGAATAAACATTGAACCTGGTAAAAAAAACATCGAAAAGTAATACAATTTATAAGCAGAGGTAGTCATTACAATTGAGACAATTTTGCATTTAAAGGATAGTCATTTTAAATCATGATTTATAATTATGTACCTTATTCGTAATTGAAGATTGTTATCATGTTAACCTACGCACTGATAACTGTAGTACTTCCCAAGTCCGCCTTTTACTTTACATGTTAATTTCATCATCAAGAGTTCCTAGTTGTTTATACTTATTTAATTTTATTTTAACAAAATTATAATTATACGGTTTTTATACTGCATCATAATATGAACGATCATTAAGCTGATTTATTAAGATTATTTTAAGTAATGATATCGACAAAATTTAATTTTCATACAAATTGCTGTGAAGTTTTTATTATTATTTTTTTTTTCTAACTAGTTTAATCAAGCGAGGCATCGGCATTTCTAAACATTAGCCGACAGATCAGTAGGTGCCTCTCGATTTGAAAGACGTAAATAATTTAGTGAAAACTCGAATATGATCGGACCGAGCAGGGCCAGGCAGAGTTATCCGTCCGTCGGCCAGTATTAATCTTCTTCTTTTGTATATATTTTATTTTCTTTATTACGTTACTTAAAATTTTTACCGGAACATTATTATCGCTATTTAAGTATTTCTATAATTTTGGGGGTTCAGTCAGAATTAATGTGAGCTGGCGCTATGAAGGATAATGAACGATAACGATAAAAGTTACTGCGAACAATATCCGCGACGAAAGACTACAAATTATTTCGCACGAGAGCGAGTTATTTCGACAAGTTGGGTTGTAATGGATTGTGATTTTCGGGCGAGAAGTAACAAGTGAGGGATAATAGGGAACGAACATGAAAAAAACTGTGAACGAATTTTACAGTCAATAAGTTAAAAGAAATATTGCGAGAGATGAGCCTATCAACAGCAAATATAAAAATTGAACTGATAGTGAGAATTATGGATAAAGATCCGACAGACGAATGGATCCTGCGAGTAGCAGGAGAAAGAGGAGGAAGACGAATCGAGAATTTTGAGAACACGAGCGTGCCAAATGCAAACAACGAACGATCCCAAATATTTTTTACGGGAAATAGAACTTCGAAAAGAAAAAGAAGTGATGGAACGAGAGCTTTTGGTGGCACGACGAGAGATCGAGTTATTGAGACGGTCGCAAAACGCGAATAAGCGCGAGTAGAGTAAAATGGAAACAGTAGATCAGGTGTGCACAGTGAATGATTCGTTCTTTGATCGAGTGCAAAGAATGGATTGATATTGCTGTCTTTTTCTATTTACGAAACGGATCCGACAAATAAAGACTTGCATTAGCACTCTCGCGCGTGCGGTGACGGACACACGTTTCGGGAGCAGATCTTGTGTTTTTCGATGTCAAAATTTTTATCCGAGATGAGTATTTTTTGTTTGTTTTTTGGAGGGGTCAAAAGTATTGAGTAACAATTTTTTTTCCTTTTTTTTATTTATGTTTATTTATTGCTATTTTACAATTATATAACTATCAGTAAATAAGTTTATGGTTTTTCAGTATTACAGTTTGAAGCTGGTTATGACAGTCAAAACGAAATTTGAGATCAGATTCTAGGGTCAAGACGGTCGAGTGTAGAAATTAAATATTATTTATCTAGAAACGAAATATTACATTTGCGAAATATATATTAAGATATAGACAGTTAAATTGAGCAAGCTGTATAGGTATTTCTAAACATTAACCGGCAAGTCAATACATTGACGAACAATATACGTCCTTCGATTCGAGAGATGTGCTAAACGATTTAACGAAAATTCAGATATGATCGGCGAATTGAGCATGATCAGGTAAAATTTTCACACACAGATACGTACGATTAAATATGCGTGGTTCTATTGTAAATGAACTGAATGTCTATACAGTGAAATTCTTTTTTGTGCTGCTTTCTCACGTGATTGCGTTTGAGTGAAAAAGAGAAAGCATTACAATACTTGATTTTGTCAGTCGAAAATGATTTAAACAATATTTTTGTTTTGCCTATGTGTGTGTGTGCTATTAGAACTATAATGAATAACACTGTTAAAAAAAAATTACAAGAACGTAGGTAATCATTTCCTGTAATTTTTTAGGAGACGAATACGATGTGCATTTATCAAATTGCTCTATCACATTATTGTCATTACATATTTGAAAAATTTGTGCTTAAAATTGCAACAAGGATTATTTTTATGTTTTATATATTATAACTCTAATGTATGACGCGTTGGAGAAGTTTCATTGCAATAAAAATTAAGTATATTGTTAAGATTTTCAGTTCTTAAAAGAAATTTGTCGTAAGGATTGATTTAAATTTAAGAAACTAGTACTAATATATTCGATCTGTTTTATTAAACTTGCGACTTTATATTGGCCATTCTCCAAAGTATTTTTTAATTATAAAATTTAAAAAACTACGGAAATGATTATCTTTGGCTTGTATTCGAAAAAAATTATTTTTTGTTGAACAGTGTGACATGTAGAAGAGTAAGAAAATAACTTATAATAGAGAGACATTGATATCAATAATTTTATCGGATATTTTGTTGTATAGAAGTACTCTTGCAATATATATTTTACAATCTACTGAACTTTTTTAACTTCCTTGTATGTCTTCTGATAGAAATTATGGAACATGAAGAAATTTATTACTACATTTCCAACGAATAACACGACAACATAATTATTTACGATTTCGCAATCTTTCAGCACGTATTTTTGCGATGCGTACAAGATTAACACGACGAATTGTATCTGGAAATAAAGCGATTCAGTTAATTTATCATTTTATTTTGATATCCTCGACGGGTATTTGTGTGATGCGATTTACATGATGCATATTTAAACTTAATAGTATATATGACGAAACGAATTATTATAATCAACGATCGAATTAATAAAAAAAAAATATTTTTGAGTGTCGAGAATTATTAGATCGAACATATGAAACAATTTAAAGAGAAAAGGAATTACGCGATATGAAAAATGTAGTGGAAAGTTCGGATAAAATTTACCATTTGCGCTATAGTTATCCATCGTTTCAGAGGTGTGACAGCCTTTTGAACGTTCGATCCCCAGGCCGCTAGGAAGTAATATGTGTACATGATCGTGTGTATGAAGCAGTTAATTATACACGTCAGTACCATGGGAGCAACGGCGTAAAATCTTATACCTGCCCATGACAAAAGTAAGGTAGACACATGATGATACAAATGCAAACCGGATATCTGATTATCCTTTTTCCTTAATACAAATACGATCGTCTCG